TCATACACGTGGCGAGAGTATATGTATACGTTTATATCACGTGGAGAAGCACGTGGAGCAATCTATTTTTTTCTAACAGTTTGAAGAAACATGCTTCCTATAGACGTATACGCACGGAGGATTGGGGATCAGCCATTCCGCCTCATTCACAGAGTATTAGATTGGCTCTAATAACGAACTGATCCTAGCGATAATATATACGAACATACATTCTCTGCAAGTCCAAGCGTGAATGTTTTCTTCACGTATGGCTAGCGTTTAGAGCCCTGCATTAGATGGACATGTCCATGGACATGGATAGTTTTTTTAAATCTGTCCATGGACATGGACGGACATGGACAAAAAAAAATTGTCCATGCAGGTCTCTAATTCTCATACGCAAAACGTATTTAAAAAACGCGAACATTTCATGGACAGAAAAACACTTTTGTCCATGGACATGGACGGACATGGACAAAAAAAAATTGTCCATGCAGGTCTCTACTAGCGTTACCTTACATTACGGTAAACCTCACAGGCGAGATATAAACCATTTAACCACTCTCACTTTTATTCTGAGATCAAATACCAGTTATACCATAATTGAGAAATACACAAAAAAACTATTAATACGGTTCTTATGACAAGTAGAAAGGATTTAGACAAAGAGAGTGTGTGTTAATAAAACTGCCGTGTACAAGTCTGATCCCAACTTCAAAGTGAGTCTAAGGTAAATGATTGACCCTGATTGCATTATGTTCTCGAAGAGAAAACAACACGGTGAAATCACTGTTTCAGCTACCTTAGGACATACTTTCTTTTTAAGCGACTCTTTTATATCAAAAGTTTTTCTTTTTCACTTTTTGTTTCTCACAAGAATCTTAAAAGAATGACAAAATATGATAGAGATCATTTATGCTAGAGGTTAATAAATGGCAGAGTCATTTATGCTAGGAAAAAAGCCATTTATGCTAGAGAACCTTTCCGGATAGACAACTGTATAGCCATTTATTCGGAAAAAAGTGTGGGTAAGCCATTTGTTCTAGAAACGGCGCAATTTATTATTTTCTTGATAAATTGTAAGCCCTCCATTCGTACAAGATAGCAATATGCACACTAACAATCGTAATAAAAGGATTAATCGTACAATTTATAATTCAAATATTTTAAATTCGTCAAATAAAAGACAGACTACAACAAGTAATAAGCAATATACTTATTCGAATCAGAATCGAGAAGGACAATATGATCAACAAAATAGAGCGCCTGATATACAACAACAAAATCAAAACAATTATAGTATGAATAATAGACAACAGGTATATGGATATATAGGTATTGGATATGCAGCAGAGACAAAATCAGCAAAATGGAAATCAAAATTCTCCAGTATCACGGCAAGCAGAAATAACTGCTGAAACCCGATACCCATTCTCACCTTACATATTGCATTTTAAGAAAGATGTTAAAGATAAACATATTATCTCTGAGTTAATAAAATATGTCAGAGATACATTGGGTCATGAATTAGAAATTGCAGGGTATAGAAAGACAACTATAAACTGTCAAAATAGAGAATGCGATATATTATTATTTGTTGGAGCAATTATGTCTTTTGAAGTATTATTTGGGCAAGAAAATTGGCCTCCACAAATCATAAATGAACAATATGATCTTAAAATACCTTCTACACCTCCACAATTATCATAGTAATTCAAAATGTTAGTTTTGATGTGGATTGGGATGAATTTACTGATGAAATGAATGAAAAATATGATGGGAAAATTGTCAATATTGTTCGATTCAAAAATCGAAATCAGCAAGAACTGAAATTTAGTCAAAGTGGAATTTAATTCTATCAAAACTCGATATGAGGTACTTGAAAAGAAGAATGTGTTTATTGGACATATCGTGTATAAGGCTGTAGAATATTTAGCATTAGCACATGTTTTGGTATGCTCAAGATGTATGGGTATAGGGCATTTTCAGAAAAATTGTCCACAAAAAGACCAGATTACGTGCAAAACATGTGGGGAAAAATATGAAAATACAGAAGAACACGAATGCTCTGGAGAAGTAAAATGTATTCATTGCTCACAAAATCATCGATCGAATGCTACAAAATGTCCAGTAATAAAAGATTACAAATCTGCGTTAACTAAATCGTTACTGACAAATCGTGGTAATAACAATAGTAATAATGCTAATGCTCTTTCTACAGCGAATTTTCCACCACTACTATATTCAGTACCTCCTCAGAGTATGACAACTACTCGAGCTCCATGGGCATTACCCTCTCAACCATTAGATGAATTAGTTTCTATGATCACTAAACAGATTTCGGAGGAAGCTGAAAAGACGAGAGAGAGTTTTGAGAAATTCAAGAAAGAAATGGTTAAGAGAGATGAAGAAAAGAATCAGAAAATAGCCATACTGGAAGCAAAAGTAGAAAATTTGGAAGCGAAGTTAGTTCAGTTGGCTGATAATCATACAACTGATATAGGAGAAATCGCATTCTTTATTCTAAATGTAATTGGACAACTCCCACATAAAAAAGACGGCAAGACAGCTAATAATATTCAACATTTAATGCGGAAATACCAGTTAAATGTGAACACTAGCTAATGGTATATAGTCATGCAAGTAATTCAGATTATAGAGAAGAAGACCAAGTATTAAAGTCAATTATGAATAGCGCTCGTTGTATATTATCAGAAAATGACTGTAAAATATTTCAAACTATTACTGATGAATGGCACAACTCTATCAATATTGAGGAATGTTTTTTAACGTGGGAATCAAAGAGTAAATGCAAAGCTCAATCCAAAACATCATTCCTGCATACACTATGTTTTCATATACGTGGGCTTGGCCTGAGATGGGGTGAAGTATTACTGTTAACACTGAATGGGAAATTTGATGTAATAACTTTACTGGAAACCGGTAAATTTTGTAAATCAACTATTACGAATGCATTTCCAGATTATAATATATTTTATCAAAAAGGTGGGAATCCTCATGGAGGTGTACTGATACTAATTAAACAATATATTCGAGTATCTCGCATTCAGCGTGATGTATGAAACATATATGTTGTGGATCTTCATATGGATGAATCCATTAGATTAATTGGAATGTATGCACCCGAAAGTAAGAATTGGACGTGGAATGATCTTTCGAATGTGATAAGAATAAATGTATATTAATCGGAGATTTTAATGTCGATCTTGAAGAAGATATTGATAAAGGGAAAAACCTTCTAGGATGGGCAGACAAGCATTCTTTAGCTGCATATACTCCCGACTGTCCTACTTCACTATGGTCTAATCGTGAAATAGACTATGCACTGGTATCTGGGGTACAAGTCACAATACAAGCTTACGAAGGTGAAACAACAAGTGACCACAAACCGATATTCTGCGTAATAACATGTGAAAATAAGAAAGAAAATATTGGAAGTCTAACAAGATGGGACATATTCTATTTCTTCTTATCATATGTTCATTCGTTCTGGGAGGAACAATGGACTCGATATACATACAATGAAACGTATACGTTGTTCAATAAGTTGTTATAAACTTTTATTTGAGAGAAGGAAGTGTGAAGCTTCAGTACAAATAATGAAAAGAAGGAGGCGAACCTATTACATCTTTACATATTGACTGAGGACAAAAGACAGGACAAGAGTACATGATAAGAACGATACACAACGACAACAAAAAAAAAAAAGACAAAGGAAAGC